TCTTCAAAATAACGACCAAAAACCAGTTATTCTACGTTAATAAGCATTCTGTTATTAAAACAAGCACAGAGGCTACTTTCAGAGATCTCTAGGATTTGGCATGCCAATACTTCAGTCGGTTATTCACAATTTAGAGAAAGTTAGTATAACAGTAATAAAATGAGCTACAGAGTCGTACGGATCAATTAAAACGCAGAATGGGGGGAAGCAGGAAGAAAGTTTTGTACGTGGCAATTTATGTGATCTGTAAACTACGAGGTGCTCAGAAGAACTGCGTTCTAAGGTTGAGGTGTTTATGCATATCCAAGCCCAGATCCCGGTAATTCTTTTCCCCCAACAAGCAGATGAGAATTCCACCCTCCCCCTGGAAAAAGCCTGAAACTGTAAACAGGTTTATTTTCGTGAACAAGGCTACATGAACATATTGAAAAATCAAACAACAAAACATGAGTCCAAAACTAAGCAAAAGCATGCAATCTCTGAGTTAAGAAGTCTTAATCATATATTTTTATAACTACATTTTAAACTTCCATTGTCCAACCTCAGGTGAAGAGTTTTATATCATATATTAGCAACTGGTGGGGTTTTTTTTATCATCATCATCATCACCATTGTGTGGATTTTTTCTAGTTTGCACATTCCATCTCTTCCCAACTTCTTTTCACCATACTTCATGCAAAAAAATCTACATCTGAAAACACTGATTCACTTCTTTTTTTTTTTAATGCCAACAGTGTAAAAACGCCTCTGTGATCTATGCATGGTTTTGCTTCCCGTGCAGTCGTACTTACAGTTTTGAGATCTGGCTACTGAGAAATCAGTTACTAAAGTGCACACCACTCAAGAACAGAAGCTATTTATAAGCTGTTTCTTACTAGTTCAAGGTCCAAAAGAAAGGATGTGATTGTTTTACGCAGAGCTAATACAAGGATGTATTTTATTCCAGAGAGAGCATAATTTGGCAATTACTTGAAAATGGAAGAAAATAATCAACTTTATCATCCGTGCACTGGAAACACAAGCCAACTAATTCATAATACCTGGGCTTCCAATTTCTGCCGAAAGAGACCGGCACTACTTTACTATTCCTTTTCTTTTGTATCACAGATATTTTGTATGCATGCTCAGAGCGGTTGTATTTGGTGTTCAGGATGAAGAATAAAGGAGTAATCCTGACCCTGAACTGTCCCAGTGTTTTTCTGAGAGATGACTGTTAGAAAGCAAGCGGAGACTTGCAATGGAAACATCGCATCTTCAGGAGGATGCTTTACAAACACCCCTGCAGTAACTGAATCCTCTCGACATGAAGAAATAGCCAGACCTCATCCACATCACAGTTCATATACAAGAAGTCATTTTATTAATCTGATAAGCTAAATGATGCTCACTGAAGCTATTTACAATTACTGTAACAAAACTCAGAAAGCCAGACTTTGAGCCTAGGGTGTCAGTGGTATTTCAAGCTACGCAAATGCAGCTCTTTACTGGGCTTATACAATTTAGAATTTAGTGCAGCAATCTTCCCGACTCTTAAACTTCAAAACAGCATAGTTATATGTAGTAGCCATCATGTAGATCAGCTGGTGGAAGAGAACAAAATACAGGAGAGTAAGACACAGCAAGGTGACGGCTCAAGCCCATTTGGGCAACTCTCGATACTTTTACAAAGACGTTACTCTGAGGTAACTTCTTCCAGGGTGAAGATGCGCGGTGAGTAACTTGCCATTTATCTGGAGGGGTCAATCTACCTACGGACCTACAGCTGTTTCATCAACAAACAGCGAGTATTACACCTGGGCTTGGCTGACATGAGGTTAGAAGCTGGCAGCTAGAGGAAGCGTTAAACACACGAAACAAGTCATCTTGTTAATGTCCCTTTTTCCAACTGCTACCGGGAACTGGCATTGCAGAGTGGGACTAGTCAAACTGCCTGGATCCAGACAAGAAAACCAAGAGGTTACAAGTGACTGATTGTATAAACTACAAAAACAAAAAGAGTGGATGTAAAAATAGTAATAGCGGGTAGAATCTGATTTTCAAAGGACATGCAAAGAATTTTATTCCAAGGATGGGGGAAGGTGGGTTAAGATGACTTCTTCAAGCAAAAGTTGGGGACCTGCAGACTTGTAATGACCAAACGGTAGCAGCAAATAGTGGCACTTACAGCTCACCCTCCTTAATGCCTAGTATTTAAGATACACAAAATCTAATCTTAAAGCATCTTAAGTCTGAAAGAAACATGTTACACAATAAAACAACAAAAAAATGCTACCCACCAATGCTATGACAGTGGCACCAGCTCCAGCACAAGCCACAATGAACAGGTGATAAGACATGTAGAACTAGAGAAAAAAACACGTTAAAAACATTGAAGTAACTGAGGATAGCATAAAACACGTTTCAACTGTTCTAGAGAATAAGGATAACAAAACCATCTTTGTAGCAAGCTATTCAAAGTTTTAGAAAATAAAATGTTCTGAAATAGTTTTCATTTTCTGGGATGACCTAACACAGAACAATTTCAGTGTTGTGTTTAAATCAATCTCTTTATACTATTAGTATTAGTTTTCTCCAAAAACTTTCATCAGGTTATTTATTACACTGTGCCCAAGTGACTTGAGGGGCAAAAGCTGCACATAGGTTATGTTTCCGTACCTCATTCGTGTTGCAGATGTTCTCTAAAATCGGGCCACAGGCTTTGCCAGGTACAGCATTCCAAGGGATAATACCTGAAAAAAACACGGCAAAAGAAACCACTAATCTTCGCAATCAACACACGCTTTCTATTCCTCTCTCAACTTTTCCACCCACTTGCCAGTTGTTTGCCCGTCTTGGGCATCTGCACCT